ACAGTGTGATTCCAGTATTTCAGCAGGTTGCCTGATTGAAAGAAGCTAAGAACTGCCCTCATGATGTCTGATTTAATCAAGCTCCAGAAATGTTGATAGAAAGCAGCTGTCATACCATCTTCCCCTGGGGATTTGTCATCTTTGAAACTGAAAAGGGACTGTTTGACTTCATCTTCATCAACAGGTTTGAGAAGAGCTGTATTCATATCTTGTGTAATGGTTTGAGGAATTAAATGGAGAATGGATTCTCCACCCCAGCTGCCTTCAGTGGAGAAAAGGTTAGCATAGAAATCTGATATGTGATCCTCCAATTCTTTCTGAGAAGTTAAGACTCTTCCTTGAGTGGTTGTCAGCCTTGTAATTGCATTTAGCCTCCTCCTTTGAAGTGTGCAAGCATGGAAAAATCTTGTGTTGGCATCGCCTTGCTTCAGCCAGTTGTGTTTTGCCTTTTGCTGCCAGTGCATTTCTTCTTGGTAATGAGCTTTGTTCAATTTCCTTCTAGTTTCTTCCCATTCCTCCCAGTTTATCCCCTCTTTGTCAGAATTCAGGTCTTCCAACTTTTTAGAAAGTTCAGCAATGTCCTTCTGCCTTTGAGTTTGAAAGGAAGAACTCCAAATGAGAATAGCAGCTCTTGTGTTTTTGACTTTCTCTTTCAGTTGAAAAAAAGGAGTACCCGAGACAGCTATAGTCCAAGCCTTTGTAACCACTTCTTCAAATCCTGCTTTGCCTAACCATCTCTTGTCAAAGTGGAAGGGGGATTTTCTTTTCAACTGAGGTAAACCCATTCCCAGAAGTAATGCAGAGTGGTCAGAGGAGCTTCTTATGATGTTGGAGACTGTAGCATTTGGGTAAGCTTGGGACCATTCAAAAGAGCCAAATGCTCTATCTAGCTTTTCTTCAACCAGGTCCGGGACAGCTCTATTGTTGCTCCAGGTGTAGGGATATCCCTCAAGTTTGATTTCCATCATCTCCATATCAGCAATGAAAGAGCCAAACCCATTAAAGCTGTTGATAGGCCTAGAAACTCCACCATTCTTCTCTGAGTTTGAAAGGATGTCATTCCAATCCCCAATTGAGAACCACATTTGTCCCCATTGGGATTTATCAGCAAACAGTTCTTCTCTTTGGGATTCTCTAATCAATCTGCAGGGACTGAGGTACACAAAAACTCCCCATTGCTTGGGGTGAGACTGAAGCTGAAATTCTACAGCAATAAGAAAGTCTTTACATATAATAGAATGTATTACAACTTTGGTATCCCATAACAAAACAAGCCCTCCACTAAGGCCTTTAGGGTCTACCACAGCTAATCTATTATCAAAACCTAACTTTTTACAGACAGATTTAACAAAAGCATTTGGTTTTTTTGTTTCTGAAAGAAATATAAAATTTGGGTGATGAGCTCTATTTAGCTCTCTGATTTGGGAAATTGTAGAGGGCCCACCCAGCCCTCTACAATTCCACACCATAGCTAACATTTATCATTTTGGTGCCACTCAAGGCTGGCAACCTCCACCCTTTCAGAAGAAGCTTTCAGTTTTTTGGAATGGACCTGATTTGGAGTTGTAGCATCTTCAATTGTTTCAGTTGATTCATGGACTGCCCTATCTCTTTTGCCTCCAATCAGATGATCAATTATGATAGGAGTCTCAGTGGTTCTAAGAAGCCTTCCCATTTTTGTTTCTGATCTTTTCCAGGTTTTGAGAGGTTGAACCTTCTTAAGGCAGGGGTGATCTACTTGGTTTGTATGAGTAGAGAAATGCTGAGTGTCCCCTCCTTCAACTTCCATTGTGCTTGGATCAATCATCTGCAGGTGCACTTTTGCAATGGTCTCCTCCTGAGCAAGGTTTTTGGTTGTGGATACATGAGAAGCTGCTATTATTGATTTTGAGGGCGAGGCAGTATCTCCAGCACTTGGGATGATTTGGTTGTGGGCTGTTTGATGGCTAGATGATGCTCGCTGAGACATGTCATGTTCATTTTCCTTTGGTGACTCTGGTGTAGGAGAAGATCTTGAGCCTGAAAAGCTAACAGGAGCCCATTTGTAGCCATCTGGTGCCCTCAACCATTCACCAAATTGTCCTTCATTGAGTGAACAGTTTCTGACATCTTCCATCTTTTGCAGACATCCTCTGTCCAGGTGACCAATTTTGCCACAATAATGACAGAGATTGATGAGTTTCTCGTATTTGAAACCCACAGTCACTATTTGATCCCCAAGCCTAATTTTTGCAACCCTTGGGAGAGGTTCATTCACATTCAGAGTGACCAAGAGCCTCAGAATCTTACCCCCGTGATTTCCAGAGGTGGTAATCACTACATTGTTAAGTTCTTTGAAAGCCTTCCCTATCTTTAGACCCACTTCCGAACTGAGCCAGTTAAGTGGAATATTTTGAACTTGTGCCCATAATTGCAGTTCCTGAAATCCCGGGTGTTTGCTATTGATGTCTGCACTCCATTCCTTAAGGATGAGGTACTGATTCTCAAAAATCCAATTTGTACCATTTGAAACCTTCTTCATATCATCACGGTTTTGAAATATGAACTGAAAATAATTGGGACTTAGCTCCTTTACCTCCATAGGTTTACTGAGTTTCCATATCAGTGACATTGCTCTCTTGATTCCTATCCAGCTTGCGGGTCTGTCTCCCACAATTTTACCGAATAGACTTCTTTGACACTCATCATTGCTAGCTTTGATGTCTTCCTGAGCAATATCAAAGATCTTATCTTCATTAGCTGACAGCGAGAAGCTATGAAGTCGGTCCGATAGGTCTGAGTCGAAGTCAGCCATTATATCAGCAATAGATGAGAAAAAAGGATCAATGTATAGCAGATGTAGAGAATGTGAGAATGGCGAGTGATTAATGATACGAAAAATCAAGGAAAGAAAGCGAATCAGAAATTATGAACTGAGGTGAAAAGCTCTCAAAGAGAGAATCGTAGCTCTCAAAGAGAGAATATCACTCAATTACTTTTTAAAAATTAATTTTGTTTAACCAAAAACAAAAAGAAAAAAAAATCAAAACTATAGAGCAAAATTCTGCAAGGAATATAAAACGCTTGGAATAATTCTTGTTTATATTTTTCGGGAGCCTCTCTTGAACTGGAAACATGGATCAGGGCACCCGCAATGGATGTTAATTTGCTCCCGTTTAAACGCCAAGTTGGCGTTAACGCCACTGTGGGCGTTCATTCTTTTAGTGGAGTCCAAGATTTTGTTCAATGGGCTGAACATTTTTGTTACTTTTTTATTTTTGTTTTAAATCAATTTTATATTAATTTATTTTTATTTATATCATACTTCCCAATTCTCACAATTCCAGCATTTTGGACTCAATTTGCCACCAACTAAAAAAAATATTTTTTATAATTGTACTATTTTTTTCTTGTGTAATCTTAATTTAAGTTATTTTGGTCTTGTAGTGTTCTTCTATTTTCATTCATTTAAATTTATTATTACAATGTAAAAATATTAAATTTTATTTTTGTTGAGAATAGAATATAAAAAATTATATTGAATGAGTGGATAATGTCCTATATATGTATTTAAATGAATGTGTACGAATGTGGGTGTGTGTTTAAATGGAGACAGATTTAGTGGAAAGATGATGTGGAGATGATGTGGATGAGAGAGAGTGTTACATTTTCATTGAATGAATGATATAATTAATAAAAAGTTTGACCAAATAAATATAATGTTTGACTTACTATTAATGGAAAGTTAAAAAACGTACATGTGAATCTTTAGTAACAAAATCTCAATCCTATTTTTTTGGTAACAAATTTTGAGATTTTTATGGCAAAATTTGAATCCCATTTTTTTCGTATCATATTTTATTTTTTTTACCAACATTTAAATCATATCTTTTTGGGTAACAAATTTGGAGATTCTTATGCAAAATATGTGTCAATTATTTATGAAAAGAATTCTAAATACAAATTAATTTAAAAACCGTGCAAATTGGATACAAATTTAGGAAGTAAATAGTTGTATAATTCGTAACCAATTCTTCCAATCTTATTGAATAATTTTTTCTTTCAAAAAAATTGTGTAAATTGGATAAAGCCACGTGCAATTTTATTTTAAACTAAAACTGATATTTGGACGGGATGTACATTCAAAATTGTGTCCACATTTTTTTGTAACAAAAACGGTTCATCATTGATATTTAAAGTTACCTTATCCAGTTATTTAGGGAAAATTGTGTGCAACTTTTCAAAATTTAAATGCATCGATTTTTTTAGATTCTTATGTTTTTTCTTAACCATGTTTTACCGAGATTTTGGTAAGTTCATATCATTTTTTTTTTTTTTGTTAAGTTCATATCATTTTCTTTCAGAAAGAGATAGTTGCATAAAAATTTACAATTTATTTCAATTTTTTATTAAAATTATTTTCAGTTCATATTGTTTAGTACACAAATCGGTGCAATATTAGGAAAATTTGGTTGCAATTTTTACGAAGAATTGATGATTTTTTTATTTGGTTTAAAAAAAATATTCGAATCAATTGTTTGATAAAAAAATCAGTTTATTGGTAGAAAAATTTGTTTCATTTCTAGGAGTAACTAATGATTCTTTTCAATTTTTCTTAATTGAAATTTAGAATTAGATTTAAAATAAATAACGGGTGAAAATTCTTAAAAAATTCTACTTTTTGTTTCTACTTTAATTTTGTTTAATAAATAAGATTCTTTAATTTTTTTAAAATTTGTTAACTAATAATTAATAATATGCAATTTTGGATAAAGTCGAACATCTATGTAGTACTTTACATGTCAAAGAATCAAATCAATAATGTTGTACATAAGAAAGTGTTTAATAACATATAAATTTCATTTTGATTAAATTTTTAATAAAATGAGACAATTTAAATACAAAAATACCTTTTAAAAAATAAATAGGTAATAAATGCTCTCGTACATCCGTTCACACGGGTACCATACTAGTTTGAGTTAAAAGGGTTGTGGATGGGCTCAATAACCATTCTCTTCTCTGCTTTTGCTCTTTTCTGGAATATATATGCATATAGGTACAGGAGGAAGCCCTTGCTACATTCACATACATTTCTATCCCTTATACGGATTATTCACACAACGACATTCATAGAAAGCGCATACTCCCCATGGGTGCATACCGAGCGGACGATGAATATGATTACCTGTTCAAGGTAGTATTGATCGGTGATTCCGGCGTCGGAAAATCCAATTTGCTGTCCAGATTCACCCGCAATGAGTTTAGCTTGGAGTCCAAATCTACCATCGGAGTCGAGTTCGCCACCCGGAGCATCCGCGTCAATGATAAAGTCGTCAAGGCTCAGATTTGGGATACGGCTGGCCAAGAACGGTATGCCCGTGTTTCTCATTTACTTCAATTCTGATGCGTGTCTTTCATTTACACAAAAAATTTTTAGATCTCAATTTATGGTGTCATCTCCTTTTTTTTTGTGGGTAGCCTGATTTAGCTTCATGTATTTGTTTATTAGAGGTGATTATAATTTTCTTTTTTTTTCTTCGTGAGACTACATGGATCCGATAAAATGTGATACATTCAGATCTGATTCTTCTGGATACCTAAATGTTGTTGGTAAACCTTTTATATTATGAAATTGGGATTCATCTGATCAACTGTAAAGACTCCGGCTGCTTCAAGAAAATGGTTTTCTTTTCTTTTTGTCAGTGATGATGTTTCATCAGTTTTGATGAGGTTTATTGCTTAATGGGTATACGTACGACATTTGTATCTTGTATTATTGTCCATTTCTTGAGCATGTAATAAGATGATGACCTTACCCAGATGAAGACAATAGCACCAAGTTTTTTGTCCCTAGATCAGAAACCTTAATCCAACTGTCCCTCAGCCATCTCTCATTTACATTACACGTTTGTTAGATAATATAAAATATGTGCGCGAGCTGCAGGAGCTCAGTGTGTGTTAAGTTAGATACAGCATGTGAGCGTGGTCACCAAACCTGTTCTAGGAACAGCTTATGAAAGATGAACAAAGTACTGTGATATAACTTATTCTAAATTCTTATACTTTCACTCAAGTATGTGACAAGCCGGCTTTGGCAAAGTAGTGACATGGTCAATTAGTAAAGAGGTCATATATGTTTTGTACGATTGATGATACAATTGTCTTTGATTTATCATTATTTCTTGCTAGAAAGTATTGAAGTGGCAAATGAGCGTTTATGAAGCAATTTGTCTCTTCAATACTTGTGTAAATAGGCTATGCGCTTTACTCATTTTTGTCTTGAATATAAAGAATAAAAATCATACAATTGGACCACAGTATTTTTTTATTTTTTTTTTGAAACAGAGGACTTTCAGGGGTGTTGGCTGGTCTGTGAAGTTGGTGCCATTTAATATCTATGTTTTTATTTTTCATTCATTGTCTAGCGTTCAAAGTTGTCACCGAATATATTTGGTGCTTGCCCTGTTAGATGAAAAACAATGATTGGAATCTTCCTCAGGAAATCAGTGTAGTACATTACAGATTTCACTGCTTTGTGTTTCTATGTCAATTGTGTGGATACCCTAAACTATTTCCTTTGGTTGTAGTCTACTAAATGAATACATAACCTACAATGGGTTACCTTGTTTTTAAAACTGTTCTTTTACTTATTTGCAACCATTGTTGTGTACAACAGTATGAGACTTGCAATTATAATAA